AAATACTTATAATTATTAGGTGCATTTATAAATTCAGTAACTAGATATTGCTTGCACTGGCAGGAAGGCAGTAATCAAGAGTCTATTAATAAACAGTGATGGGGTAAAAAAGCTGGTGGGGAGAATGTGATTATTTTTAAAACTGAGCGAGTTACGAGTGGGAATGTACTACCTGAAGAGCAGTGTTAACAGATCCAATAGAGCTTTCAACAGGGAAGAGGATATCTACTTTAATAAAAAAGGAAAAATGTCTACATTTAAAGAGAAAAGGATTACTTGGATAATTCTTTCGAAGCGCTAGTACAGGCACAAAAGTACAAATGGCCTCTTTCTGTGCTGTATTGTTCTGAATCTTATTGTAAATTTAGCATGCATGGGAGAAAGCGATAGCTAGGCCCATGGTGTCCAAGAGTTCTATTGTTACTAAACAAGCAATAATCAGGATGGTTGGAGACAAACTGGATGGAATCTTGTATCAGAGATAGTAGGAACTGCAGATGCTGGAGAATCTGAGATAACAAGGTGTAGAGCTGGATGAACACAGCAGGCCAAGCAGCATCAGAGGAGCAGGAAGGCTGACGTTTCAGGCCTAGACCCTTCTTCAGAAAGATGGAATCTTGTTTGTTTTTCTCATTTTGTAGTTTCCAATTGAAATTATCCAATTCTGCTATAACTTCAAGGTCAGAAATTACACAATACCAGGTTATAGTCCAACAGGTTTATTTGCAAACACAAGCTTTCACAGCCACACACCACTCATGTGATCCTTTGATCTTTTCCTTATAAATTCTGTGTCTGGTACTACCTCTCTCACTAACACCCAGAGGAGGAGTGAGGCTCAGAAAGCTGGTGTTTCCGAATAAACCTGTTGGACTATGACCTGCTGTTCTGTGATTTCTGACTTTGTCCATCCCAATCCAACACGGGCACCTCCACCTCCACATCATGCTGTAGTTTCAAGTTATAATCTGAGAATTTTTGGGTATTGTTGAGAGTGTGACAATGCTGTGCCTTTAAGAGGTTATTTTGTCCTTTCTTTTTTGAAGAGAGGCGCAGAACAGTCTACCAAAATCATGAGGGTAAACAGCTTGTGAGGCCTTGGGGCTTTTTTTCAAGTTGGAACAATGGAGGCAGCCTAGCTGGGTGTGGCCAGCTCTCTCAGAACAGGCTTTCTAGTTTTTATTTAGTTTTTAGATTTGGGTTTAAGCTGTTGTAAGCTTGAAGAAGTAGACGCTATCTTTTCCCTTTCTTGGTTACAGCTAGAAACTGGGGCTTTACCCCCGCTCTTGTCCCGGTACTGGGTTACTTGTGAGACAAACCTGTGTTCTGAATTTTCATTTTTGCCAAGTGATATGTTTATGGGATGTTACTATATTGGAACAGTTAGTTGGTAACAGTTACTATATCGATTATTCTGTTATGATTTCCAATAGGGTTGTTATTCTGAATTCCTCTTTCTCTGGTTGTATTTTAACCATGGTGTTGAAATAAATTGCGTTTTGCTTAACTTTGAGTAGTCTAGAACATAGAACAGTACAACACAATACAGACCCTTCAGCACACGATGTTGTGCCAACCTTTTATCCTACTCTAAGATCAAACTACCCTGCATACCCTACATTTTAATAAAGTCCATGTGCTTATCCAAGAGTTGCTTATGTGTCCCTAATGTATCTGACTCCACAACCAGCACTGGCAGCACATTCCATGTGCCCACCACTCTCTATGTAGAGAACCTACCTCTGACACCTTCCCTATACCTTCCTCCAACCACCTTAAAATTATGCTCCCTCGTGACAAGTCATTTCCACCCTGAGAAAAAGTCTCTGGCTATCCACTCTATCTTTGCCTCTCATCATCTTGTAAACCTTTGTCAAGTCACCTCTCATCCTTCTTCGTCCAATGAAAAAAGCCCTAATTCCCTCAACCTTTCCTCATTAGACATGTCCTCCAGTCCAGGCAGCATCCTGGTAAATCTACCCTGCACCCTCTCTAAAGCTCCCACATTCTTCCTACAATGAGGTGACCAGAAGTGAACACAATATTCCAAGTGTGGTCTAACCAGGGTGTTATAGAGCTGCAGCATAACCTCGCTGCTCTTAAACTCAATTCCCTTGCCATTGAAAACCAACACACCGTACATCTTTTTAACAACCCTATCAATTTGGGTAGCAACTTTGAGGGATCTATGGACATGGACCCCAAGATCCCTCTGTTCCTCCACACTGCCAAGTATCTTGCCATTAGCCCCTTATTCTGTATTCAAATTTGACCTTCCAAAATGAATCACTTCATACTTTTCTGGGTTGAATTCCATCTGCCATTTCTTTGCCCAGCTCTGCACCCTGTCAATGTCCCGTTGCAACTTACAAGAGCCGTCCACACTATCCACAACTCCGCCAACCTTCATGTCATTGGCAAACTTACTAACCCACACTTCCACTTCATCATCCAAGTCATTTATAAAGATCACAAAGAGCAGAGGTCCCAGAACGGATCCCTGTGCAACACCACTGGTCAATGAGCTCCAGACGGAATACTTTCCATCTACAACCAACCTCTGTCTTCCATTGGACAGCCAATTCTGTATCCAAACAGCCAAATTTCCCTGAATCCCATGCCTCCTTACTTTCCGAATGAGCCTACCAGGGGGAACCTTATCAAATCTTATCTGTTCTGAGGAAGGATCACCGGACCCGAAACATTAACCCTGTTTTTTCCTTCACAGATGCTGCCAGACCTGCTGAGCTTCTCCAGCGACGTTTTTTTGTTCCTGATTTACAGCATCTGCAGTTCTTTCGGTTTTTATTTTGAACCTTATCAAATGCCTTGCTAAAATCCACATGCATCACATCCACTGCTCGACCTTCAGCAATGTGTTTTGTCACATCCTCAAAGAATTCAATAAGGCTTGTGAGGCATGACCTGCCACTCTCAAAGCCATGCTGACTATTTCTAATCAAACTGTGCTTTTCCAAATAACCATATCTTTCAGAATCCTCTCCAATAATTTGCCTACCACAGAAGTAAGACTGACTGGTCTGTAATTTCAAGGATTATCTCTACTCACTTTCTTGAACAAGGGAATAACACTTGCCACCCTCTAATCATCTGGTACTACTCCAGAGAAAAGTGAGGACGCAAAGATCATCACCAAAGGCGCAGCAATCTCTTCCCTCGCTTCCCGTAGAAACCTTAGGTATATCCTATCTGGCCCAGGGGACTTATCTATCGTCATGTTTTTCCAAAATTTCTAGCACATCCTCCTTCCTAACATCAACCTGTTCGAGCATATCTGCCTGTTTCATGCTGTCCTCACAAATGTCAAGGTCCCTCTCACAGCAAAGTATTCATTAAGGACCTCCCCTACCTCCTCCGACTCCACGCACAAGTTCTCTCCACTATTCCTGATTGGCCCTACCCTCACTCTGGCCATCCTCTTGTTCCTCACATAAGCATAGAACGCCTTGGGGTTTTCCTAGATCCTACCCGCCAAGGCATTTTCGTACCCCTTCTAGCTCTCCCACGTCTATTCTTCAGTTCCTTCCTGGCTACCTTGTAGCCCTCCACAGTCCTGTCCGATCCTTGCTTCCTCAACCTTAAGTAAGCTTCCTTCTTCCTCTTGGCTAGATGTTCTACATGTCTTGTCATCCAAGGTTCCTTCACCTTACCACCCCTTCCTTGCCTCAGTGGCACAAACCTATCCAGTACTCGCAGCAAGTGCTCCCTAAACAACCTCCACATTTCTGTCATGCATTTCCCCGAGAACATCTGATCCCAATTTATGCTCCACAGTTCTTGCCTAATAGCATTGTAATTCCCCCTCCCCCAATTAAGTACTTTCCCATGCTACCTACTCCTATCCCTCTCCATGACTATAGTAAAAGGTCAGGGAGTTGTGATCACTGTCACTGAAATGCTCTCCCACGGAGAGATCTGACACCTGGCCTGGTTCGTTGCCAAGCACCAAATCCAGGATGGCGTCCCCTCTAGTCGGCCTATCTACGTATTGAGTCAGAAATCCTTCCTGGACGCACCTGACAAAATCTGCTCCATCCAAACTATTTGCACTTAGGAGGTTCCAGTCTACATTAGGGAAGTTGAAGTCACCCATGACAACAACCCTATTACTTCTGCACCTTTCCAAAATCTGCCTCTCAATCTATTCCTCAGTGTCTCTGTTGCTATTGGGTGGTCTATGGAAAACTCCTAATCGAGTGACTGCTGCTTTCCTGTTTCTGACTTCCACTCATACTAACTCAGTGGACGAACCCTCCTCAGCGACCTCCCTTCCTGCTGCTGTGATGCCATTCTTGATTAGCAATGCCACTCCCCCACCTCTTTTACTTCTCTCCCTATTTCTTTTGAAACATCTAAACCCCGGAATATCCGACAACCATTCCTGCCCCTATGTTATCCAAGTCTCCGTAATGGCCACAACATCATAGCTCCAAGTACTAATCCATGCTCTAAGTTCGTCACCCTTATTCCTGACACTTGTTGCATTAAAATAGACACACTTCAACCTGTCGCTGTGACTACAACTTTGCCCTATCAATTGTCTATCCTTCCTCACAGACTCTCTGCATGCTCTATCTGCCTGCACACCAGCTACCCCATCCTCTGATCCATAGCTCCGGATCACATCCCCGTCAAATTAGTTTAAACCCTCCCGAAGAGCTCTAGCAAAACTTCTGCCCAGAATATTGGTGCCCCTCCAGTTCAGGTGCAACCCATCCTTCTTGTACAGGTTCCAACTTCCTCAAAAGGTATCCCAATGATCCACATATCTGAAGCCCTCCCTCCTACACCAGCTCTGTAGCTACGTGTTCAACTGCATTCGCTCTCTATTCCTAGCCTCACTAACCCATGGCACCGGCAGTAATCCTTCTTAAAATATTTTGAAGAAGTTTGGCCTGGTCCATAATGACAGAGATGTAAATTGGCTGCCAAAGAATAAAGTTTTCCTAAAATATATATATAAACAGTGTAATTCATACCTGCAGTTTTCTTGTCTCCTCTGCGATCACTGTGGCCTTCAAACCAGCAGCTGCTTCTTCCGATGCCTTCCTTAAATCCTCTGGAATCAAAAGTATGGTCACAAAGTGTCAGTTCACCTGCTACGCTTTCTCTTTCTCTCTTCAATTCTATAGCATAACAACTGTGGTTTAGGGATAGCATTCTCATCTAGGCGTCAGAGATCTCACTCAAAAGACTTAAACCAACTTGATACCAGCTTAAATCAGTGCAGTACTGAAGGAGAGATGTACTGTTAACGTGCCATCTCTTCCTTTTTCTTAATCAATCTATCAAATCTCATCTTGAATGTAGACCCAAGTGCTGCTGACCATTAATTAAGTCAACACAATCACAAATTTTCATGCCAAGATGCTTTTTCTGCCCGGTCCTCCAAATCTCTCAATTTAATCCATGTGTCTAATTACTCATTCTTGACCTATATCTAGATCCCTTCAACACTTTATCACATAACTTCACTACTTGCACTGTTCTAACATAATGATCCAGTATTTCCAGGTCTTTCTGCATGTTCTCCTTTCTACAGACAATATCCTCGTGAATTTACACAATGAATTCCAGTTGAAACCAAAACCTTCAATTCATTTGAAAGTACATATTCCATGGTACTTCCCAGCTCATCTCATGTCGAGTGAAACACCACTTTCACCAAATTCCCACTTTTGAAGACCTTATTCTCATTGTATTATCAGCTCCATGGCTACATGATGTGTTCCCCACTCAAGCTGGAAGTCTCAAAACACACAATTACCAAACAACATAAACAACTTCTCTTTGCCTTTCATGCTTATACTACAAATATCTTTGCATGGTATTTCTCTAGAGAACTGTCAAGCAATGGAGGCACTGTAATTTCTTGCGAAACACCAACACCTACACAAACCTGATAAACTCACAGATGCTCTCTCCAAATATGCTATCCTGAATGCATAAAGACTGTAGATTTTGTTGACAAGCAACATATAAGTGCAAAGAAAATTCACCTGAGAAAATTCAAATAGTGCAAAACACCATGTAACATATTATTAGAGGCCCTTAAGCTGGATCACCTATTTGAAACAGGAGTTTGATGCATGAGCTCAGTGTACTGCTTCCTTAGAACTAACCAAGGTAGGACAAATTCCAGAAATGAAGGCATTGATTTCAAGCGTACAAATGGGTGGAAAAAAATCTGCTTCAACTGAAGGAAGGGTGCAGAACCTAGGTTTGATTACAAAATTAGAAATGACTTATAGTAAATGGACCAAACTGTTAGGCATGTAATAAATTGCCTGGAAAGTCTAGAAAATAAGCGGTGCAATTAGATTAAGGTGATATTTGGTTAACCTTCTGCAAAGGGAAATAATGGATTTTGGGGGGAAAAAAAATTGACAGCTGCCAAAAAAATTCTCATCTGTTTGGTAAAATAACATTTCCTTTAAGGCTTTCTGTGTGTTTCATTATTCAACTCTACTGATTAGCCCGCAGCACAAACAATTCATCACATAATTGTCCATGGAGCAGTATATAGGAACTGCATCTCCCCTTTGAAGCTTTAATGGAATCATTTGAGCAACAGTGGCTCAGTGGTTAGCACTGCTGCCTCACAGCACCAGGGACCCGGGTTCGAATCTACCCTTGGGTGACTGTCTGTGTGGAGTTTGCACATTCTCCGCGTGCCGCCCTGGTTTTCTCCGGGTGCTCCGGTTTCCTCCCACTGTCCAAAGATGTGCAGGCAAGGTGGATTGGCCATGCTAAATTGCCCATAGTGTTCAGTGATGTGTAGATTAGGTGGGTTATAGGGGATGGGTCTGGGTGGGATGTCTGAGGGTCAGCGTGGACTTGTTGGGCCGAAAGGCCTGTTTCCACACGTAGGGATTCTGTGATTTGTACATAATGCACCTTTAAATGCAGTGCTTCTAGGACTGGATTGTGACAACAATGCAAAAGAAACTTGGAAGGAGATACGAAGGTGACTGTAGGAATAATCAAACAGGGAGGATCAATGATCTTGGGGACAGAGAGAGAGAGAGAGAGAAGCTGCAGAGGGAGGAATCCCAGGTTTCAGAGCCTAAATCGTTGAAGGTGCAGCCAAGGAAATCGAAGACATGTAAGAGGGTATGGACATGAGTTGAGTCAGGAGAGGTGGAAAGGGGTGTTACTCAGGCCATAGAGGGATTTGAACATGTCGCATAAAATCAAGTTTGAAGTGGACAATGGCAAAAGTTTGAAGGATACAACACAGTAAGCAGTTCAGCTCAAGATCAAATGGAATACAAAGGTGACGATACTTTTGTTCAATCAAAGGCAGTCACAAGGGACCAGAGAAAATGGCTCTCATGACCTCCATTTTTAATTGGTGGACATTTCAGTTCATCCATGGTTTAATGAAATATAAGCAGCCTGATAAGACTGGAAGAACAGATGACCTTTTCTCTTTCAACTAAAATTTGATTTGACGAGTTAACAAACATAGCAAACAACACTGACTCCTAAGAGCAGGTACACAACTTAACCAAGGCATAAGTTAACTGATTTGTTCATTCAGGTTTGTTAAGGAAATATACCCAGAATTAAACTAAATTAGGGCAATCATTATTCATAGATATGCTATGTACTGAAAGCTTTTTAAAGAAAAGTAGCAATTTCAACAAGAGCTATCAGTACGTACCATATATATGAGATAAGTATCTATTTGAAATTAAGTTGCAAACCCAGAAGACATGCTGAGCCTACCTCACCCTACAAGATACTCTACCCATTTCCTGTTGGTGTTTCTTCACAGCTTGCTCCATTTGCTGCAGATTTTGTTCCCTAATTCGCTCCAATTCTATGTGCTGTTGGTTCTGTAGTACTGCCACCTCCTGGCGTCGTTTATCATTCAGCACCTCTCGCAGCTCAGCAAGCGCCTCCTCCTTCTCACGCTGCAGATTAGACTGCAGAAGCTCAAGCTGAGCTCTGTGCATATTGTTCAGACTCAGGCGCAGGGATTCCAATTCAAGACTATGTCCTTTCTGTTGGAAAAGAACAATTCATCTCAGAAGAGAGACATCATGTAAACAGGCCAGGTTAATTCAGCAGTACCTCAGGAGCATCAGCTAGAGCATTAGCTTGAATTATATACTTTTAAATTCTGGAAATGGAACTCACTTGGAGATCTGTTCTTGTGAAGTGACTTCATGATCAAACCATAAATTGAAAGTCAGTTACAAGTTTAAAATTATCCTAATTCTTTGGAATATTTTCCTTAAACTACATTTAAATATATTTTCTCTATGAAATAATAGAATCGCTGAAGTCCATTGATGGGCTGAGAGTGACTCCCCTTGAGATCAAAGCAACATTTGAACAAACGTGACATCAAAGAATCCTAGCAAAACTGAAGTTAAAGGCAATGAGGGTGAAAAATACACTCTGCTTACAGCTATACCTAGTATAAGGGAAGACGGTGGTTGTTGTCAGAAGACAGTCACCTCAGCCCCAATCATTTCAGGGTACTTCTGTAGGCCCAAACAGCTTCAGCTGCTTCGTCAACAGCCCTTCCTCTGTCATAAGATTTGAAGTGGGGGTGCCAATGATGATTGCAGAATTTTCAATATGATTCACAATTCGTTGAATAATGAAGCAGTCCACCTCTGTATGTAGCAAGACCTGGACCACATTCAGGCTTAGGTTGGTGGAACAGCAGTCACATTCGGGCCACACTTGTACCAGGCAATGTCCATCTCCAACAAGAAACTATCTAACTAGCTTCCCATGTTATTCAGGAGCATTACCATAACCAAGTCTCACCCTATTAACATCCTAGGGATTACCATGACAGAATCTGAGCTGGATCAACCGCATAAATACTCTAACTATTAGATCAGGTCGGAGGTTTGAAATTTTGCAGCAAGTGACCAGAAGGCACAGTCAAATGCGATGGAACATTCTCCATTCCCCTGGATGATTGCAACTGCAATAGCACTCAAGAAGCTCAACATCATTCAAGACAAAGAATGATTTGCGTGCCACCAATCAATTGAAATATTCACTTTAATCATCACCAGCGCAGAGTGACAACGGTGTAGGATGTAGGCTAGACACACTGCTGCATTCCATGACTAAATCCTCAACTTCTCCAAGGGCAGCAGATGGATGGAAGAACCACCACCTGCAAGTGGTTCCAAATGGTTTCATCCAAGTTACACATCACCCTGACTTGGAACTATATTGCTAGGTCAAAATCCTGAAGCTCCCATCCTATTAGCACTGTGGGCACACCTACACCACTCAGACTGCTGCAGTTGAGGAAGGTGGCTCATCACCACTTTCTCAAGAGTATTTGAGATTAGGTAATGGTAACAAAATAGCCTACAAAAGAATTTTATAAAAAACTGAGACACTAAACACTTTTGGCTGGTTGGTGTCAACTGAAGTATTGTGTCCAATTCTGGGCACTAAACTCTATGAAAAATGTGTAGGCCTGAGAGGAGATACAGAGAAGATTTGTTGATGGTTCTAGGGATGAGGAACTTCAATTATAAGGACTGTATAAAGAAGCAGGGAGGGCACTTTTAGAGAAGTGATAGAGCTGTTCAAAATCATGAGAGATCTTAATGGAGCTCAGAGACTGTTCCCGTTGTTATGTAAAAGCTGTTTCTTCATATTTTCTGATCAATTTCTTCAGAGGTGTTATGAAACATCTCTGGAGCTTGAAACTGGGTCTCCACTATCTCTGCTCCACAAGATTCCAAGTGAAAGATTGCAAGTATATATCACTGGATAGGTTTCCTGTGTCAGCAAATGCTTCCTGTAAATTATTTATCATCAGCGTGTTTGGACATGTTATGACACATTCCCAGGGCAGGTGAGATGTGAACCTGGACCATCTGGGACAGAGGTACGGATACCACTACTGCACCACAGGATTCCTTCTGGCGTTTCTTTCCATGTGCTGAAGTAGCCATTGTCTTCCAGCTGCATGCATTTAATCTCAATCATTATAACGCACACATAAAAAGGCAGATAATTTAAATCAATATTTGGCATCAGTTTTCATGGTAGAGGACACCATAATCATCTTAAGGATAGCAGATAAGGTAGGTAATAAATGGGAGGAAAGATCTTGTCATAATCTCAATCAAAAGGGTCAAAGCATTTGACAATAAAGGAATCTAAAGGCAGACAGGTTGCCAGGACCTGATGGCCTGCATTCAAGGGTTTTAAAGGATGTGTCTGCACAGACAATGGAGGCACGGTCAAAATATTCTAGAATTCATTGGATTTCAGAAGTATTCCAGCAGATTGGAAAATTGCTGATGTGACAATACTGTTCAAGAAAGGAGGGAGACAGAAACCAGGAAAATATAGCCAGTTAGTGTAACATTTGTTATTGGAAAAATGCCACAATCCATTATTAAGGAAGAAACAGGAGATCATTTAGAAAGGCTTAATGCAATGAAAGACAGTCAACGCGGTTTTAGCCAAAGGGGAAAAAAATCACGTTGACAAATTTTCTACAGTTTGTTGAGGGTATAACAAGTGAAGTTGAGAAAGTGGAACCATTAGATGTGGTGTATTTGGACTTTCAGAACGCATTCGATGAGGTACACATAAAAGGTTATTTGAAGACATGGAAGCTCATTTTGAGGGGAAACTCATTTAAAACTGAGGTGCAAAGGATTTTCTTCTCCCAAAGGGTTGTAAATGCCTGGAATTCTGTACTCCAGAGCTTTGAGGCTAGATCACTGAAAGCTTAAAAAAATACATTTTTGAAACATCAGGATGTTGACAGCTCTGCTGAATTGGCACAAAATACGATTTGAGGCCTGAAGCAGATAAGCCAAGATCTTGATGAATAGTGGGGCAGGCTTGAATGGCTGAATGGCCTATTCCTGCTTCTATTTCTTACATTCTTCGCAGGCTCATACTGCAGATTAAGACCAAGCAAACAGTGAAGGAGTTGATGACCACTATTCAATTTAGAAAGACCACGCAGGTAGCACAGGAGTCCCTCAAATCTCTCTCACTCACAAACCAGATTTCAACTTTGGGCACATGTGAGGTGATGTTCATCAGAAGCATGTAGCAATTGCCAAACTTGTGGCAGGTACCAAAAGTGACTCAGCTATTCTGGTGGTCTGGAAGAATATTGTAAGGGCAAGAATGGTAGGCAATTCAATGGAACATACAGGTGTTCCTGTGGCCAGACATGACTCCGGATGGTATATTGCTTCCTTGGTGTTACAGTCAAAGATGACACAACACAGCTGCATTACATTTTTTTGGGGGAGGAGGAGTATCCACATTGGCACCAAAGACATAGGCAGAAAGGTTGATGAATCTGTGGAACTAGCAAGAGGCTCAAAAACATTTTCAACTGCTGGATGAAGGTAGAGCAGTGGATGTGGTATACATGGATTTAAGTAAGGCGTTTGATAAGGTTCCCCATGGTAGGCTCATGCAGAAGGTAAGGAGGCATGGGATAGGGGGAAATGTGGCAGATTGGATTCACAATTGGCTGACCCTAAGAAGACAATGGGTGGTAGTGGATGGAAAATATTCAACATGGTGCTCAGTTACGAGTGCTATACCACAAGGATCTGTCCTGGGTCCTCTTCTATTTGTGATTTTTGTAAATGATTTGGATGAAGGAGTGGAAGGGTGGATTAGCAAGTTCACAGACAATACGAAGGTGGGTCACGTTGTGGACAGTGCAGAGGGCTGTTCTAGGTTACAAAGGGACATTGATAGGATGCAGAGCTGGGCTGAGAAGTGGCAGATGGAGTTTAACCCTGAAAAGTGTGAGGTGATTCATTTTGGAAGGACAAACTTGAAAGCAGAATACAGGGTTAACGGAAAGATTCTTGGCAGTGTGGAGGAGCAGAGGGATCTTGGGGCTCATGTCCACTGTTCCCTGAAAGCTGCCACACAAGTGGATAGAGTTGTTAAGAAGGTGTATGGTGTACTAGCTTTCATTAATGGAGGCATCGAGTTCAAGAGTCATGAAGTTATGCTCCAGCTATACAAAAGCCTGGTTCAGCCACATCTGGAGTATTGTGTCCAGTTCTCATTACAGGAAAGTTCTCATTGTGCCTCATTACAGGAAAGATGTGGAAGTGTTGGAAAAGGTGCAGAGGAGATTTACCAGGATGTTGCCTGGAATGGAGGGAAGGTCTTACGAGGAAAGGTTGAGAGCGCTTGGGCTTTTCTCTTTAGAACGACGAAGCATGAGAGGTGACTTGACAGAGGTATACAAAATGATCAGAGGTATAGATAGAGTAGACAGCCAGAGACTTTTTCCTAGGGCGGAGGTAGCTATTACGAGGGGGCATAGTTTTAAAGTGAGTGGAGGTAGATACAGGGGAGATGTCAGAGGTAGGTTCTTTACTCAGAGAGTGGTAGGGGCATGGAATGCATTGCCAGAGAGGGTAGTGGAGTCGGCCTCATTAGGGACATTTAAGTGGCTATTAGATAGGCATATGGATGATAGTATAAAGGTAGGGGTGGAGGTTAGATAGACCTTAGGATTAGGGTAAAAGTTCGGCACAACATCGTGGGCCGAAGGGCCTGTACTGTGCTCTACTGTTCTATGTTCTATGCTGTTTCCACTAAGACAGTAATCTTACTCCGACTACCAGGCACTAGTGAGCACAGATATAAGAAGACTGACTGAATGAACAAGTGTCTGGAAAAATGGTATAGGATGGAGGGCTTGAGACCCTTGGAGCACTGGGACTGGTTCTGTGCAGGTAGAATCTGTACATTAAGGATGAGTCACACCTTAATAGAACCAGAACTAACATCCTCAAGGGAGATTTGCTACTTCTGTTGAGAAAGGTTTAAACTAGTTTGTTAGGGAAATGGGAACTTATAGGATATAAACAAAGCTGGTTATGGGAAGTACAATAATTCTAAATGAAAATGGAAAGCAACAGAAACAAATCTTAGGATCAATAGGGTCAAATTACAGAATCATGTTAAAAAGGCAGAAATAAAAACTTGATCTGAATACATAAGGTATTCACGGCAAGGTAGGTGAATTGAGACACTAGTAAAAGAATATGATTTAATTGCCATTATGGAATTGTAGCTGCAAGGTGACCAAGACAGGCAACTGAATACTCAAGGGTATTTGACATTTAGGAAGAATAGGCTAAAATAGGCTAGGTCGACTGATGACCATGAATCCATTGCTGATTGTTGGAAAAATCCATCTGGATTTATTAATGTCCTTTAGAGAGGGAAGCTGTCGTCCTTGCTTGGTCGAGCTAACATGTGACTCCAGACCCATAGCAATGTGGTTGATGCTTAACTGCCCTCTGGGTAATTAGGGATGGGCAATAAATGCTGGCCTAGCCAGCGATGCCCACATCCTACGAATGAATAAAAAAAAAATTCCTCTTCCGAGGAAGGGTCACCGGACCCGAAACGTTAGCTCTGTTTTTTCCTTGACAGATGCTGCCAGACCTGTTGAGATTCTCCAGCAACTTTGTTTTTGTTCCTAATTTACAGAGTCCGCAGTCCTTTCGGTTTTTTGAAAAAAAAAATTGTTTGGATGAAGCTAAGAAACAGCAAGAAGTAACAAACAGTAGTTTATAGACCACCGAAGGAGCGGCACAGTGGTTCAGTGGTTAACACTGCTGCTTTACAGCAACAGGGACACAGATTCAATTCCATGTATAGAGTGGACAAATCTAATGAGCAATATGTTGAGGAACAATTAGGGTCCATTGTCTTTGCAGTTTAGGATAATCAACAAAGTAAAAGCAGAAAGGACGCTTCCCCTGGCTCCACAGAATCTCAAAATAAAAGGCAAGATGCTTAGAATAGAGATGATGGCACAAAGGCTCAGTGGTGAGCACTGCCATCTCACAGCTTCAGGGGAGCCAGTCTCAACTGCAGCCTTGGGTGACTGTCTATCTGGATTCTGCAAGTTCACCCTATTGCACATGGGTTTCCAGCAAATACTCTGGTTTCTCACCACAGTCCAAAGATGTGCACATTAAGTGGATTGGCCATGCTAAATTGCCCCACAGTGTCCAGGGATGTGCAGGCAAGATGGATTAGCTACGTTTAATGCAGAATTATGGGGATAGGGTGGTGAGTGGGTCTGGGTAGGACACTCTTCAGAGGGTTGGTGCAGACTCAGTGGGCCAAATGGACCCTTTCTGCGCTGCAGGGATTCTATGCTTCTATGATCATATAGAATCTAATCACAGACTGACCCCTAAGACCCCTTCTAAAGTTCACATTGACATGCCTTTGAAATATATCGCCATTCTTTCATGTGTTTTAGGTCAAAAACCTGGAACTTCTGCTTTAATACCTTGCAACATCATTAACGTAAAAACGATAGCAACTCAAAAAGGACCATCACCGCTACCTTATCCTGGAAATAGCGCATAAACTAGGAAGAAATAAAAATACATAAGATTAGTTGTTAGCATCTTTCACCAGTGTTAACTAACCTGCATTTGAAGCTGAATTTCGTACAGTTCTGCTTCATGTGCGGACTCCATTTGTGCCTGAATATCATTAAACAGATCCTGCTGCTCCTGTGTCAATTCTGCCCGCTGTTGCTCCACTTCCTCTTTATGTTTAGTAATCAGTGTACTCATCTCTCTATCATGCTCCCTTTCATGAACCTGGTAATAAAGATAACAAATGTGCATAAATAACAGTATCCCCATAAAATTATGGCAAGCTAACACAATTGAGCTAAAGGAAGGTTTGAGTTGCAGCAGAGCTCTTGCAGCGCTGTGACAAACGTTTATCTACCACCATCAGAACAGAGTAACTGGGTCATTCATCTCATTGCTATTCAGTGAACATTGCTCTGTGTAAACTGCCTACCATACTTGCCTACGTAACAAAAGTGGTCATTTTTCAAAAGTAATTAATTGGTTTTGAAGGATTTTGGGATATCTTGTAGATATAAATGTAAGCTCTCCTTAATTACCGACTCTGATCGGCACAAAATTGGCAGATCTCAGCTAAAAAACAGAACAGTGGAACTTGAGAGATATTTTCAATAAGGCACATTTCAGAAAGTGGAAACTTTTTTATAGTGGCAATAATATTTTAACAGTAAAGCTTTTTTGCAGATGTAGACAATCAATAACTGTGGCAGTTACTTATTGCTGTATTGATTGGAGATTGAGCAGGCATTTTATATTGGTTCAAAATACTGTCCATCTTTCCCATTGGACAGTCAGACTTTTCAATTTGATTGGACCATAAAGTGTCTGCACCTCAATTTTACTCTTTTCATTATATTTATCTTCCATTTTTCTACATCAGTGATCTAACAAGTCATATTCCTTCTTATTGACTGCTGAGTTTTAATGATGCAGTAATGTGCAATTTCCATCAAAGAACGCCTTGAGGAGGTGTGAATTAGACCTGTACTTTGCTTTCATCCAAGCAGATTACATCTAGCTTTGATAGACTAACATTCACACAAAGTGATAATCATGGAGACTCCACTCCAAGAAAGTTTTTTCAAAAATTCAAAGTTATCTTAATTTGCAGATAATTAGCACCTTTGTAACAGCACTGAGTGTACCTATTCTCCATGGACTGCAGCAGCTCAAGGTGGCAGCTCACCACCACCTTGTAAAGGGCACTTGGGGACAGATGAGAAAGACTGGCCTATCCAGCAAGGCCCATATCTGGAGAGCCAATAAAATAAGACACTGTCATCAACAGTCAAAAATTATAAATGAACAGCAAAATTCCTGAAGATAACTAGTCAGAATGGTACAAGGTTATAAGAAAGCTCTGCCTAAATATAGATTCTCATCTTCCGGTTTTTTGGGCAAATTTTAATTCAGATCTCACATGAAACAAAACAAATACATGAAGAGTATAAAATAGGAAAAATTAAATTGGACATTTTTTTTCCTGTCAGAGATTACGAGGTGCACCAAGCGGGTGACAGCTAACATCTGCCAGAATACTTGCCCGTTTAATTAATCCAATTTGTTTTCTTCTTTCATCTTCCTGTTTCTGTTGCAAGTCAAATGCCTTTTTCACTTCTGCATTCAATTCATCTAACTGTAACGAATACAAAAGATCACAAATGCAACAATCAAGCATGTGTCAAAAATAAATACTCTGGATTAGTCATTCTACACCTTACAACTATTTTCATGCCTCCCTTATTACAAAACATTTTGGTTCGAAATATGTTGCAAAGATAAATTTCTGCATAACAACCTTCAGGAATCACTATCCATAATATAAACCCTTAGATATATCGACAGTAAGTTATTTGGGCAAAAAGCTAAATTTGACATTTTGATTAAGAGGTTCAGTTCATGACAGGAAACTGAAGAAATGTGTAAATTCAAGAAAACATGGTCAAGGAACTTGGCTCAACATGCTTTATTCCTAGAACCAAACCAAGGGAGGCAGGGGTTTCTTTGAAACAATAAATTTTTCACTGCCACTGGGTTCAAAATCCTGAAACTTCCTTCCTAATGGATTTACATCTACCTATACCACACGACTACGATGATCCAAGAAGGCAGCTCACAATCAATTTCAAGGGCAATTGGGGATGGGCCAAAGTATAATTCAATTTAGGCCATTGAATTTATTTTTTCTTTATTTGCTCACAGGATGTGGGCGTCGCTGGCCAGGCAGCATCTACTGGCCATCCCTAATCGCCCAGAGGGCAGGTCAGAGTCAACCACATTGCTATGGGTCTGGAATCACAGAAAGGCCAGACCAGGTAAGGATGGCAGTTTCCTTTCCTAAAGGATACTAGTGAACCAAATCAGCAATGGATTTATGATCATCATTAGACTCTTAATTCCAGATAGTTACTGAATTCAAATTCCACCATCTGCCATGGCAGGATTCGAACCCAGGTCCCAAGAACATTATCCAGGTCTCTGGATTAACAGTCCAGGGATAATAACACTAGGCCATCGCCTCCCCGGGATGATGTACAGCTGTACAGCAAAATCATAAACACCTCCTTCTGATGTTGCAGTTTCAAATTCTTCATGTCAGACTGATGCAACTGTTCCATTTGGTTCAGTTCTTCCTCATAACGGCTGGTCACATCTGCCCGAGCCTGCTGCACTGCATAATCAAGCCTCTCTTCCTGTTCTTCAAGCATAGTTTGTATATTTTCATTGAAAGTTTGTTCCAATTTCTGTTGAATCTTTCTTTCGTTGCTGACCTCCAATTTCAGAGCAGTATGTTCCTCAAGATGTTGAGCCTTTTGTTCTTCCATGGCCACCTCTAGCTTTTGCAATTCTGCAACCTTTCCCTTCAACTCATTGGCCAGGGCTAGAATCTCAGACTGCATTGTACAGTCCAGATCTTGGAGCTTATGCATCAAATCTGTCTTGTCTTTCCTCAGACAATTATTTTCAGCTTTGATTCCACTCAGTACTTCTTCAATCCTAGAAAGATCCTCTGCGTTTGACAATACTTTATTTTCAAGCTTGATTTTCTCTTCAGTCAGCTGATTTACATACTGTTCATTTTCACTCAATACTGACCGAAGTTCTTTGAGCTCTTCGCGCAGAGATGATTCTTGCATGGTTTTCTGCCCCAGGACTTCAGACACTGTTTGACTTTTCGCTTTTTGAGCCTCAAGCTGAGCCTGTAGCTGATCTCGTTGGGACTGCAATGCAGCAAGCTGACGGCCGAACAAAGCTTGAACTTCACTGGTGACTGAATCCGCAGCTAGCTTTTGTTCTTGGACTCCTTTGACTAGCTGTTCCTGTTCTCGTAGCTGTGCCAACAACAACTGCTTCTCCTGTGCCAGATCTTGTACCATCCCCTTTAACATATTAATATCACTTTCTTTGTCTTTTTCCATTTTTTCCATTGTGGAAACCATGCTTTTCTGCTCAGATTCAGACTGCTGAATATTTCCTTTGCTCTCAAGAATTAGTTTCTTTATTTCCTCTTCACAATGTAGCCGTTCAGTACTTTCCTTTTCCATTTCTAAACGTAAACTTGACAATTCCTCAGTGACTGTTTTCCACTTCTGGACAGCTTCCTGAGTTTCACTGGCTGACATCTTAGCTTCCCTGTGCAATTTCTCCAGCTCCATTCCCTTTTGTTGCAACTGTTTTGTTAGCTCTGTACACTGCTCAGTTAACATGACATTTTCATCATTCAATGCTTCAAAATTCTCATTGATATCATTTTGGTGTATTTGACCGTGCAATTTCTTTTTCAGACATTCCAATTCCTTTCTCAGTTCTCCAGTTTTTAGATTGTGTTGTGCTTCAAGATCTTCCCTAAGTTTGGACAAATCAGCTTCATGATTGAATAGCATCTTGGTTTTAAGTTGCTCAAGTTCTATTTCTTGAGATTCAGCCAGTCGGCTTAGCACTTCATCCTTCTCTCTCTCCATCATCTCCAACTTGATACTGCAGTTTGTGATTTCATGCTCATGCCGGAGTCTCATTTCTTCATTGTTTTCCTTCTCTTGGGCCAAAAAAGCATTGAGCTTTTGAATTTCATTATTTAAATGTTCTTTTTCACATTTATACAGCTTCGTCTGTTCTTCCAGATCCTGAACCAAAAATTTATATTTCTCCTGAATTTCAACTTTTTCCTGTTGAGACACCATCATCTTTTCTAACTCTTGGTGAAGTCTCTCTTTCTCAAGACTGGATTCTTGTAGGTTTTTATTTAGATCAATGATCATTGCATTTAAAATTAGCACTTGTTCACAGGGACCAGAATGATTTTGAATCTGGCTTTGGAAGATGTCAACCTCAACATTTGTTTGTCCACCTAGCCCCTGCATCTCCCAATCAGGTTCCTGGCTATGATCTGCCCCCAAATCAAACCTCAGTTCCTCCATATATGACGAGGTTTCCTTCTGACCAAATTGTTTCTGCATGTTTTCTGTGTCAATTTGTCCTCCATTTTTTTCCAAAGACTGCTTTTGTTTATTGGCATTTTCAATGTCTCTTCTTAAATCAGCAATTTCTTGATCCCGGAGAAGCAGTGAATGCTGCTGCTGTGATATGGCAGTATCTTTAAGGTCCAATTTTTCTTTTAATTCTTTAATGGTTTCATCTTTTTCTTCCACCCACTGATCTAATTGCAGCACAGTGCTTTCTGTAATTTTCTGTTGTTCAACCATCTGAGCAAGACAGCTGTCTTTGTCTTTCGCACTCTTAAAAGAAGAAAAGTTATTGTAGATCAATATAGAAAAAGACATGAAAATCATTATATTATTGTGTCTAAACATATACTGTGTTCACTGATCTAGTAAGTCAACTGTGCTATTCAGGAAAATGGGGAGCAAAAAAGAAATGGGAGATTGTTCACTCACTGCATTGTTTCTACTCTACTCACTAATTTCCAAAGTCTTCGAACTAATGAAATTGCTCATCTCCTTCTATTCTTCCTCTTACATTTTAAACGCCATACTGGGCTAATCAAATTCCCATTACCTGATTACATAAGAATAGAAAATGCAGGAAATACTCAGCAGGTCAGGCCGCACCTTCACAAAGAGAAGTACAGTTAATGCTTCATCTCATTAATCTGTAACAACTGAGAAAAGTAAGAAATGTAATGGGCCTTAAGTAGGTGAAATGAGGGAGGGTGCACAAAGAAGGAAGGTCTTTGACAGAATAGAACAGACAGCAAACAACAGGACAGCTGGTGGTGCATAACAAAGGGAATAGTAATAGAACAAAAAACTTCACCTACAGGACGTGCAAATGGTTGAATGAGGAGCAATTGCTATTCCAAAAGATTTTTTCTCTTCCTTTCAGGTGTCAAGGACACCACTCTCCAATAACTCATGGATGCTCATGCTCCTCCAAACCTCCCTTCTACTTCATTTCCCTCTGACCACATCATGTATTCACAATACTTTAAGTCCCTTTCTTCAATCTGTCATTAGTAAAGACCTCAAAATCTAACCTCTTTTGTCCCATCAATAAATTGAGCTCAGCAAAACTGGGAGGCACAGTGGTTGGCACTGCTGCCTCACAGTGGCAGGGGTCCAGGTTCAATTCCAGCCTTGGGTGGTTGTCTGTGTGGAGTTTGCATGTTCTCCCCATGTCTGCATGATGTAGTGATTGTAACGAGGTCAGCCAGATGGACCTTAGAGTATGAGTTCCCTGATTTGGGATGTTAAACTGGTCCAATCAGGGAGCCCTAGCAAATGGTTAAAAAGAGGAATGCCAGACATTCTGACAATCAGAGCAAGACCAGTGTCAAGGACTTTCCATGTGTAAATAAAGGGTGACTGGGTGACAGGATACCAGCCTCTGTGTAGTAATTTCAGTGGCAACAAAACTAAACTATGTTCCCGAAGAAACTCTCACAACAGTCGTCTTTGAGTTGGGGTAAGCTTTTACGGCATCGTGCCGTTATTGGGAAGCTTGAGTCATTCAATCAAAGACTTGGCCCAGGATGTGGAATGAACGTGTTTTTTTTCTAGCAAATGACATTGGGGCAGATGAAAGGCAATGAGTAATGCTCCAGACAGCTTGTGGACCCGTAGCTTTTTTTTATTCATTAATGGCATGAGGGCATCACTGGCTAGGCAGCATTGATTGCCCATTCCTAATTGCCCAGAGGGCAGTGCAGAGTCAACATGTAGGCCAGACCAGGTAAGGATGGCAGTTTCCTTTCCTAAAGGACATTCGTGAACCAGATGGGTTTTTCCGACAATTGACAATGGATTCATGGTCATCATTAGACTTTTAATTCCAGATTTTCGTTATTGACTTCAAATTCCACCATCTGCCATGGTGGGATTTGAACCCAGGTCCCCAGAATGTTATCTGGGTCTCTGGATTAACAGTCCAGCAATAATACCACTAGACCATCGCCTCCCAACTTTTCGGTTATTAGGAACCCAACTTTCCCTGAGGCACCAGATACTAAAACCTTTCAAGAGTTGACAGATTTAGCAAAGGAATATTATGACCCCAAGCATCCTCTAATTCTGAGATGCTATCATTTTTACTCGGCAATTTGAAAACCAGGGGAAACTGTGTCAGGATTTTTAACTGGGTTAAGATGACTGGCAGAGGCATGTGTCTTTGGTTTAACCCTTAATGAGACGCTGAGAGACCAGTTGGTATATAGGATTAATAATGTAACCATGCAAAAGCGCCTACTGGTGAAGGTCAACTAGACTTCAAACAGGCAGTACAATTGGCTTTACCACCGGAAAATGCGATAAGTGGAGCATGGGAGTTGCAGGGTATTCCAACGGAAGTGGACACCCTCGTCAATCTAACCCAGTTTGAGGGGCACCACAAAAGTGAAGGCAATTGCATAGCCACACTCAGGACATATCTTGAACAGAGGGACTCTAGATCAGCCCATAGCAAAATCCCAAAATAAAGCCAAGCTTCCGCCAAATGGTTAAAATTTTCTTCAGGATCCGGGCCAGAGAGCCACTGTAGTTGCCCCTCAGGTCCTTCTTAAATCTATCCCCTCTCACCTTAAATCTATGCCCTCTAGTTTTCAATTCCCCATCTCTGGGAAAAAGAATATGTGCATTCATCCTATTTATGCCACTGATGATTTTATACACCACAATAAGGTCACCCCTCATTCTCCTATGTTCCAAGGAATAAAGTCCTATCCTGGCCAAACTCTTCCTGTACCTTAGGCCTACTAGTCCTGGCAACATCCTCGTTAATCTTCTTTGCACACTTTCCAGTTTAATTATGTCTTTCTTATAAAAGGGTGACCAAAACTGTGCACAATACTCCAAATGTGGCCTCACCAACAACTAATACAACTGTAACATAATGTCCCAACTCCTATACTCAATGGCTTGATCGATGAAGGCCAGCATACTAAATGCCTTATTCACCACCCTGTCCACCTGTGACGCTGCTTTCAACAAACTATGTACTTGTACTTCTAGGTCCCTGTGTTCCACAACACTCTTAAGGACTTTACCATTTACTGTACAAGTCCTACCTTGGTTTGATCCATCGAATCTGCAAAGACCCCCCAAAGAGCATTCCACCCAGACCCCTAACCAGTCTCCTTAACCCTGCATTTACCACAGCTAATTCATCTAATTTACAATCCCTGGACCGTTTGGGGCAATTTAGCATGGCTAATCTATCTAATCTCCACATCTTTGGACTGCGGGGTAAACTGGAGCATCCCACGGAAGCCCATGCAGACATAGGGAGAACACACAAACTCCACACAGACAGTCATCCAAGGGTGGAATCAAACCCGGGTCTCTGGCGCTGCGAGGCAACAGTGCTAACCACTGAGCTGCTGTGCGCACCCAATATTTCAAGTGCCTTGATGGTTCCTATCACTACCACCCTTTAACACAGTGAATTCCAGATAACTACAAACCAAGGTAATGCATGGTAGACTATTCAGTAAGGTTAAATCTCACAGGATCCAGGGAAAGCTAGCCAACTGGATTCAAGATTGGCTTGAAGGTAGAAGACAGAGGGTGGTGGTAGAGGTTTGTTTTTCAACTTTGTGACCAGCGGTATGTCACAGGGATCAGTGTTAGGTGCACTGTAATAAATGATTTGGATCAGAATTTAGTAGGTACTGTTATAGTAAGGTTGCAGATGAACCAAGATTGGTGGTATAGTGAATAGTGAAGGTGGTTATCTGGGAATACTGCAAAATCT